CGGGGCGGCCGCCGGGGTGCGTTGTTGGCGGGGCTGCCTTCGGGGTGAGTAACGCCTTAAGTGGGCTGAGGCTTTGCCCTGCTGCCTCTGGCCTCGGGGTTGGCTGAGCCTGAGGGTGAGGAGGCGAGTGCCGCCTTACAAAGGGCGAGGGGAGGCGGGTGGGCCTTGAGCCGCTGAAGGGGCAGTTTAAATCGCTGTGGCAGGGGAGCGGGAGCCCCCTGCTTCTCCGTGAGGGGAGCCGAGCGGGGGAGAAACGTGCAACAGCTTCTCAGCCCGTGCTTTGGGGAGCGAGCGGCGCCTGGCTGCCGCCGCTTGTCTGGGGGCAGGAGGCAGCGGAATAACTAATTGAGAGGAAATCTTCCCTCTCTTCCTATCACGCTTCTGGGAGCAAAATAGCGGGAGGCGAGCAGCGTCCCGGGAGACTCGCCCAGCGCAGCCGCGGGGGGGAGGCGGGTGGCTCTCTCCATAAAAACTGCCGCGGCCGTTGCGCCTTTTAAAAAGACGCCGGTCAGGTTCCGTCGTTGAACCCGTGTGAGACTCGGACCGTAAGCGGCCGCCTGAATCTTAATCAGTTGGGGTTCCTCGAAAGGTGGCGGGAGTTGTCCTGCCCCGCCCGGGTGGTGGTCGCTGAGGGATGGGCTTCTTTCAGGACACGGCGTCGTGTTATAAACCGTGCGATGAACTGGAGACCCTGTCATATGTACATTGCATATGGACGGGTGGGTCTGGGAGGGTTCCTTTGTTCTGTGCTAGAGAAAACGTCTGCCTGAAACCTTGCCTCTTGGGGCTGTTTCTTGTTTTTTCTTTTCCCATCCTCTAGTTAAAAAACTCTTAAAAACACCTTACGTTCTGGAGCAGTAAAGAGTTATAGAACTTAGCAAAACCTAAATATCCACTCTGAGGATTTTTTTAGCCTATTTAGGCAAAGTAGATACATTTTATTTACACTTCGGTTTTTATAAACACTGGGTGATAATGTGTTCCTGTCTTGCAAATAGACTGATACGGAATTGCTTTGTTCTGTATTGAAAGCCCTGTAGGACTTATGCATGGAGCCTCAATGGTTGTTCTCGCATATCTTTTAACTTGCAAATTTGAACTCCGAGTTCATTTCCCTGAAAGAGTTTGAGACAAGTAGAAGGAACTGGGGGGGGGGCGAGAGTAGCGATTTTTGTTCTGATTTGCTGGAGCCAGGGAAAGGTAGGAAGGTGCGTTTCTTGTTTGCAGTCATATATGTGTTTTCCCCACCTGGTAGGACTTTTTACAACACTGAGGTGAAAATCTAGTCTCGTGTGGTTATATATAGGTTGTTTCTTTGTTGTATTCCCCTAGTAGATTCAGGACTGTAAAACTGACTGACCGTTCTTGGGAAATCCCGAAGAGAAGGGAATGCGTGTGACCTGTGTGCTTGTCTCTTGCTCCCCCTGTACCTGATTAAGTCTATTTTTTGTAGTTTAGAAAGGGAAGTGTGTTTCTGGGAAAACTGGAACCCGGAACCAATTATTTCATCTGACTGTCGGTGCAGTGTGTGTTCTTAAGAGCCTCTTGACCTAATTTGGTTGCAGCATTGTTTATTTTCTGTTTGTTTATCTTTTGGACCGTTTTCTAGCAAAGGTCTTTTGTGTACAACTACTCCGGTTCTCTAACAAAGTGCAGTGGCGTAGAGCAGTTGCCTGATGCCTGAGACTTCTGCCTCCCTTTTTTTTTCTTTCTCAATATGACTCTTTTCCTAAAACTCCAGTCAAATGGCTGCAGTACTTTACTTGCAATAGTTTGGATTAGCCTGAGGTTTGTTCCTGAAGCCTGTACCTGGCAGTCATCTAAACTGTAAATACCAAAACTCCGATAGCTCGGGGTCTGTCAGGCTTCTGGTGTGGACGTTGGATTTGTTACCGGCTGTCTCCCTGCTCACTTCAGCGTGTGTGAAGAAAGTTGTCTGCCTACCTGTGAGGTCAAGCATGGATCTGCAGGCAACCACCCGTGATTCTTCTCTTGCAAAACTTATGTAATGCTTTCTTCAGCTTCCTAAGAGAAGGCAAGTCAAAGATGTACAGATACGTTCCTAACAGGGTTCTACTTTGCACTAGAGAAAGAATAATCATTTTAGTGCTGCGGTGAAGAAACATGTTTTTTTGGTTTTTTTTTTTTTTCCCCCAAGGTGGGCTAGGATACATGGTGTGGCACGCAGTAAAGGCCAGCCCCCAGTATATCCATGTTAATGTATCTTGGGGATCTAGTTTTTAGGGGCATGTGATGTTTGAAAGAAATGCAGGTTAGGTCAATGTTTCTAAATAAATTGCTCTCCACTTCAGAATGTAAAATACATAGTTCTAAATGGTGTAAATTCCCCTGTATGCATGTCCCTGTTTTGGATTCCTCGCTTTTTTTTTTTTTTTTTCGGTCTTAGAGCTGAATTTTTTGACTAGGCCAGGATCCTGCATTTTCTCCAAACAGTGGAGACTATCTTGATAGTTACGTCACTATCCTACCCAGTTAATTTTTTCTTCTAAGTTCCTCATGTTAATACAATCTTTATTTGAGCAGGAGTCACTGCCACTTCCTTGGTTGTCCTTGGATCGTTATTTTTGACGTTTAAAGTAACTACAAACTTTTCTGTACAATTAAGTCTATACTTAAATAGCTGTTGCATTGGACTTTTCTATTTTCTCTTTCGAAAAAAAAATATCTTGTTTGATAGTTTGGGGAAATAGTTAAAAGAAGCTACATATTTCATTGGTCTGGGAATATTTTTTTCTGAAAATCTGCATCCTGCTTTGCGAACCCCTATCTCTCACAATAACAGTTGAATTATAATATTCTTTTGTTATTGATTGCATTTTTACTTTACTGAGTTTGGGGTTTTTTTCAATTTAAAATAAAATGTAAAAGCGGTATGTATAATGGTCATTGTTAATGCACCAGATGTATTTAACACCTCATTTCTTTTTTGTGACAGACAGCCAGAAGAACTCAGGATGAGTAAAACCAATAATTTTGACATTCAAACTCCATGTAAGTATGGTTCTTATTAAATAGTTACAGATATCTTTAATCTGCATATATAATACCAATTATAACTTGCTTTATTTGGATTCAAAACACAGGTGGATTTTCAGTAATCAAATTGTGTTGGAACCACTTGTCTCAGGGAATGAAAAAGAAATAATGTGTAAACTTCCTTGGATTTGTTTGCTGTAATTGGAATATTTAAAACTAGTCTTTTCTGCAGATGTTTTAAGAAAGTAACCTTGGGAATTCAGCTGCCAAATCACACACAGCTGTGTTTGAGATGTATCAGTCAAGACTTTCTTAGACTGAAGCAGTACCTCTATTCTCATTGCTGCTATGACTGTTCTTGATGTTAGAATATTGAAAATGTATCTTATATCTGTTGAGAATTGAAGGGAAGATACTAAATGTCTGTGGAAGTATGTTAGTGGGCTAGGAATGGCAGAAATGAGGAAATCCTCAAGGTTTTAGTTGATTCCAATGTTGTCTCAAATCCTTGAATGTTTTGAAACTAGCATACGTTTTAAAAGCACTGGTAGCATATGACTTGATACAGTCAGGATACCATTCATCTGCTTTTCATGAAGGTTATCACATAGGTATACAAAGAAACAGTTAAGTTGCTTCATGGATTCTAATATGGTAATGTCTTTATGTACAATACTAAAAACAGATGATGTATTTCACATGCGTCTGGACATTGTTGGCCATTTGATAATTATCTTTGGATGTTTTGGGAAGAACTTTTCAGTTGGGCGCACAATCGGCTTGTGAATTTAGCTTGGGTGATAGCCCTCTCCTGAATCAGCAGGCAGGTGGAACTGGTGAAGTATTTTCTTTCTAGGAACTAGAGAAGGAACAAATAGAAGGAACATAGTATTTACTATGGAATTCAACGTTAAAGAGTACCCTCTTCTGTATTTACTATGGAATTCAACGTTAAAGAGAGAGGGGTATCTACTGTCCTTTATCCAGTAATCTACTTCAAGATGCATGTGATTAAGAGATGAAAGTTACTGCTCAACAGCTGATCCATAGTAATTCCAGTACATTCACTGTGATTATAAACATGATTCTGTATTTTAGTCTGTGTTCTCTGTGGACGGACAGATGACTGCCCTGAAAAGTATGGAGAAAAAAGGACCTATGTAGAATACAATCTCACTGTTCATTATTACTGTTTGGTAAGTATGTGGTATTGATCTTGGAGCTTGTCTGTTTTAACTGAAAAAAGAAAAAAGGTAAATGCAATGAGTATTAAATAGTAATAACCTGTCCAAACAGTTGTAACAGGTTTTTTTGTTGTAAAGCTTGAACTGTCAGCTTTAACTTGTAGCCTTGAAGGCTTGTACTTGTCAGCAGGTGCAGCAGATTAAATAAGTAAATCCCAACAAGCCTTTATTCAAAGCTAAATTCTGTTCATGATCCATTTAAATGAATTACTTGGTTAACTTCTCCCAACCTATCATAGCAATGAAGGTACATGTTAAGAGAAGGGGAACAGATTGCACGTACATATTTGCTTCTGTAAGAGAAGTGTCGTTTCAAAATTTGGCATGTGAAAATTTCACCCTTTGTGGAAAAAGTAGAGAAAAGTTGTCTTTTTCTTGCTTCTCACTAGTTCTTTTTTGGCTGTGAGTTATTCTCTGACATTGCATAGGACATTGTAACACTTAAGAAATAGTCCTACTTTTCAGTTTAGTAATATGTACCCTATTGATCCTATACAGCTACAGTATTACTATTTAGTAAAAGCTTGTAATTTGAACAACGCTATGGATATAAACTACAGCTGAGTATCTTTTGTTATCACACTTGACATTTTCCAAGATATATACTCTTACATGTATATACTTAAACTACCTTTCAATCTCCAAATTTTTGCAGATCTTTAAAATAATATGAATACTTAAAAAAAAAAAATCAGGGTTTTTTTGTTCATAAATACAGTTTGAATTTTTTTTCTTAAATAAATTTTAAGCATCTGGATGGAAATTGAGGTCTGTTCGTGATAATTTTGTCTCATACATAAGGCCATATGAAATGACAGGAAAAAGTCCTTTCCTGATGGAGCAGAACAGCTAGGAAAGGGCATGCTTGCAACACTGAGCCTTATGATTTACAAGATATTTTTCCATGGTGAGCTTCCTGCAGTCATCTTTTAGGTTTTGGTCCCTGCTGCTTTTTAAAAACAAACAACCCCGTGATTTTACTTAAATACAGTGAGTATTATATAAGAAAAGAGTTCTTCTAGAAAGAGGCCAGTTAGTGGCGCAGTTTCATTTTTCTTTGCCAAATGTCTCACATCTGGAAAAAATATATTCTTAATTGGTTTTGGTATAAAATTTTACATTTATTCAACTAAAATATTGAAAATATTAAAAACTGTAGTTAGAAAATGGTGCTGTGTTGAAATTCTAAAATGAGAACTATAAAATGAGATTGTAAAGAATATAGGAGGCATCAAGTTGTGAAACTATTTAACTGTATGAAGTTTGTGATGTAACTGCCTTACTTAGTACCTTTAATCTAAATTATCATCAGGCTCTTCTGACTTGCCTAGTTGATTCTGTTTTTATTTAATTCTCCTCTAAAGTGAATTACTTTTCCTCTTAGGTTGCACTTCAATACAGATACTTCCTACTGTGCTTCATCTTCTCCACAGCACAATTGTCATTCACATTAACTAAACTAATTTAATTTTACTTCTTCTGAAGCTTTATATGCTGACAGTAATTGTTTGTCAATTATCTGAATAGTCTGTATACTTCAAAAAGGAAGGTAAAATACACCATCTTGGGCTCTACAGTATTACATAAGACTTTGATGTTATGAAATATTTCTTTTCATGTTAATGGTTATTATTCCATATTGTGTCATATGAGACAAAAACATAGATGTTTTGGATCAGTTTTTTAATTGTTAATGTTTGCACACAAGCTTTGTTAGTCTAAACTTCTCTCTTACTTGACAGACTAAGTGTAGGTAATTTTAAATCTTTAGATAGGTGAATATCTTAAAATACTTAATTTGTTTTCATAGTTGATGTCAAGTGGCATTTGGCAGAGAGGAGAAGAAGATGAAGGTGTAGATGGATTCTTAATCACGGATATTAGAAAAGAAGTAAATAGAGCTGCAAAACTGGTAAGAATGAAGTCTTTGGTATTTACAAGGGGAAAAAAGTAACTTTTAAGTGCACTTAGTACTGCCTGTGAGGGTTGTTTTTTCTTTTTTTCTTTCTCCAATGGGCAGTGTGCTGAGCTCATTCAAACATCTAATTTGTTACATTTAAGTAACAAGTATATTGGGTTCATGGAAGCCACAAGGGACAACAGAACCTGCAGAAGTTTGCTAATATTTTCATTTGTCTGCAACATAACCAGGAAATAAATAAGAGCAAATTAGACATGCATAATACCTCATGACATTATGCTGAGCCTCAAGCTGACATTAGATAATTTTATAGATGCAACTAAACTATAGGTACTGGTAAAATAACTTGTATTCTGGCTTACGTGTCACAAGTCAACATGCATATAAACCAATACATAATCAAAGTCTGAAATAACTATATATCTTCACTCTTTGAAATAGAGCTAAGACACAATGGTCTTGTCACAGTTACAATCTATTGGCCGATATTCTTTCTTACACACTAATTTTTCTATTGGTTTAAATCCTGTAATTTTACTTGGACTTTAGATGTTAATATTCCGTTATTTCTAAAACAAATTATTCCTAGACATGTAATATCTGTAAGAAAAAGGGTGCTTCAATTGGATGCGTAGCTCCCAAATGCAAACGAAGTTACCATTTTCCTTGTGGGATACAAAAGGAATGTATTTTCCAGTTCATGGAAGACTTCAGGTAAGTTCTGCGGTTTTGTTGCTTTTTAATGTTCAATTCATTATATTTTTACAGGAGGTGATTTGTTTTTTCATGGGTTGTCATTGGATAGGCTGTAAATTATAAATGACATCCGGGTTATCTAAGAAAAAAATATCTGGTTTGTGGAAAACATGAAGGCCAAGCAGTTATATTGCATACCTAGTACCTACAAACTAAACTCGCAACACTTTTTTAAAGATATAATTTAATGCTTCTACAAGTAGTTAAATTGTTTATAAAATTGAGCATTAAATCTTAAGCTCTGAAATAAACTGCAAAATGGTTGGTTTTGGTTTTTTGTTTGTCTGCCTCCCGTGCCTTTGACATGGTTTGGCTGCCTATCTCTTTCAGCACTCAAAACACACTGTATGCCATTCTGTTGTGTTTCAAAGAACGAGACTTCTAGATCTGCTTAGTAGAGACGGACTGCAGGAGAAATGGGTTTAATATCGAATGTCTAAAAAAAGTTTTATTTTCTTTTATTATCATCTGTCCAGCATCTTGGCTGTAGTCAAAATACTCTTGAGTGCATTTGATAACGGCTTTATTCTGCCTACTGTAAGATGAGTGTTTAGGGTGGGTGGATTGAAGTCTGGCAGGCACTTTAACTTCTTAAATAAATGACGTGTATTAAGTCAAGCACATCTATAAATAATGCATTTTCAGAAAGGTTTCTTCTAGAGCTGCATTTCTTGGCTGTCTTATTTCTCTGAAAATGTGCTAAATTATAAAATTTATCCTGCTACCTAGACTCTGTAGAATGAATGTGCAAACTCAAAATTGCTCCTTTAATGTCATGGTAACATTGAAATATAGGAAGAACTTGAGGTTCTGAGGACAGGAAAAGCATTCTTTGGACCAAAAGAAGTTTTGAGAGAAAGGGGGTATATGATCTCTGTAATTTACAGAGCATCAGTTGGCAACGTGCTTCTTCCTTACTAATGTTCTATTGACTTGCTCTGTTAGATACATAATTTGTTTACATGTGTGTTGTGGTTTAACCCTGATAGGCAGCAGAGCACCACACAGCCGCTCGCTCACTACCCCCAGCGGGATGGGGAGAGAATCGGAAGGGTAAAAGTGAGAAAACTCGTGGGTTGAGATAAAGACAGTTTAATAGGTAAAGGAACAGCTGCATGCACAAGCAAAGCAAAACAAGGAATTCATTTACTACTTCCCGTCGGCAGGCAGGTGTTCAGCTATTTCCAGGAAAGCAGGGCTCCATCATGTGTAACAGTTACTTGGGAAGACAAATGCCATCACTCTGAATGTCTTCCCTTCCTCCTCCCTTCCCCCAGTTTTATTGCTGAGCTTGACATCATGGTCTGGAATATCATAGAATAGTTTGGGTTGGAAGGGACCTTTAAAGGTCATCTAGTCCAACCCCCCTGCCATGGGCAGGGACATCTTCAACTAGATCAGGTTGCTCAGAGCCCCGTCCAGCCTGGCCTTGAATGTTTCCAGGGATGGGGCATCCGCCACCTCTCTGGGCAACCTGTTCCAGGGTTTCACCACCCTCAGTGTAAAAAAAATTTCTTCCTTATATCTAGTCTAAATGTACCCCCGCTTAGTTTAATATCCCTTTGGTCAGTTGGGGTCAGCTGTCTCAGCTGCGTCCCCTCCCAACTTCTTGTGCACCCCCAGCCTACTCACTGGAGGGATGGTGTGAGAGGCAGAAAAGGCCTTGATGTTGTGTAAGCACTGCTCAGCAGTAAGGAAAACATCCCTGTATTATCAACACTGTTTTCATCACAAATCCGAAACACAGCACCATACAAGCTACCATGAAGAAAATTAACTCCATCCCAGACAAAACCAGTACGTGTCTGCCTTTTTAGCTTGTTGCACAGTGTTTATTCATAAAAAAACAGATATAATAGGGAATTCATTTTGCTATCTTCAAATTTTATGAGGAAGGTTCATAAAATGTTGTTTTGATAAGGGAACCCTAAATTATTATTTTTAGATCTTACTGTTGGGAACATAAACCAGTCCAAAAGTTTCCGGATAGAGAATCTAGAGGAACTTCACAGTGTACGATATGCCTGGATTTGGTTGAACAGCTTCCAGTGTACACTGTATTGAAAAGTCCTTGCTGTAAAAACGCATGGTTTCATCGAGAATGCTTGCAGGTAACACAGGTTCTCCCTTTCTTTCTCTTTGCATTCTCATAGCAAATTTCTGTTTCTGTTTAAAAAACACAAACATTTCTGTTGTGTTTAAAAGTAATGGAATGGTTGCTTAAAATTGCTTAGGGTTAATGTAGGCAGTAGGTATGGAAATATGCTAGGTTTGGAGGACAATGCTAAAATTGTGTTTTGGAGACTAATGTCTTACAAGAAGGATTTTTTTTTTATGCTATTAACTCTGCCCCTCCCATGTTTCTGCATGTGTGATACACTTCATGCCTTTTAGTTATTTTTAGGAACTGAAGTCCAACCTAGGTAGTTGCCATCTTGCAAGTCATTATGTGCAGAATCTTAAATGCTAAAAATGTCATTTATCCATCATCAGTTCTCTTTGCCTAAGTCCAGAGCTGGAAAAAGTTATAAGGTTCTTTTTGTAAACTTATTCTAGATCTGGAGAGGTTGGCTGAAAAGGATTGTACTTTTGTTTACGAACCTGATTCTACCATGTGAGCTCTTGTCCTTTAAAGGAAGAGAAAATGCTCACCACTTGCTTCAATGTCAAGTGACATCACGATTGATGTCAGCTTTAACATCCATGTCAGGACAGTATCTATGAATGTAATGGTTATAGATACTAAGGCATTATTTATTGGCATCCTAAGGATGGTAGTAATTCAATAATTGGTTTGGTTTTTTGTTGTGTTTTTTTTTTCTTGACACAGTATCAAGCTTTGAGTGCTGGGATATTTTTCTTTAGGTGCACAGTATGTAATAACAAGGACAAATTTCAGAAAGAAATGTTGAGAATGGGCATACACATTCCAGAAAAGTAAGTAATTTTGTAAATAATCACTCTTCTATAAGAACTTTTGATAGGGTGTTAAAACCATTTTTATTTATTCTATAGAACTGCATCTATTAATATGTGAAACCTCAGTTCTATCTTCAATGGTAGAATTGTTTGGCTTGGTAAGGAGTAGCCTGTTTCCTTTTAGTTATGCATAAAAATTGTCAAAGGCCAAATTAGTCATCTCAAACATAAAGCAGGAAGCTCTGAAAAGTCATTTTTAATGCCATGATTCAACCAGGGACCTATTTAGAAGTTCAAAACACTTCTTAAATACAATAATTTTGCATTAAAATAAAGGTTGATGAGAAGTGTATTTTTTTGCGCCCAAGTTTTTAAATTATCAGAATTTCTGTCCAGACAGTGTTATAATTGACTGATTACTCGGCCATACAGCTTCCATCTTCTCCCAAGGGATTGCTAAGGATATGTTTAGTATAACAACTGCTTCTAAAATTCTGAGCTGTTTTTCATAAGTTTTCACCATTTGATGGGGCTCAAAATAAGACAGAAAGTGATCAGAATGATGCTTCTTTGTTAGAAGTATTACTCTCTAATAACTCTTAGTCTCTTCCGAGACTACCATTAATTCCCTCCAGAGACAGAAGCCCAAGATTTTGGAGAGGAAGAAGAGTCAAAATACTTGGTTAACTTTGCTGTACTGGCCTGGAAAATTCTGAGTTACTTATCACGAGACCATTTTCAGTGGTAACTTGAGTGGACTACCAAAACAACTATCCACGTCTGCTGTGAGAGAGAAAGCGGAATGATGTGAAACAGAGCAAACATGCACTGAGGTCATGCGAAAAATAATAAATACTTTAATCAAAGTAACTGTACGCAAGAAGAAGTCTGTGTATTTTATAGTATTATTTTTGTTCCTAGACTTTTTTCTTCCCCTTCTCAGTTGTCTAGCTGTTGCCTAGAACATTACATGATTGAAATATCTTCATGGGGTTATTACATACATCTTTTCCAAAGACAGAGTAACCAATTTAAACAATCGGAAATACAGTTGTAATAACAGATCTTCTGCCTTGTTTATAGGGATGCATCTTGGGAACTTGAAGAGAATGCATATCAAGACCTACTGCAATGTTATCTACACTGTGACATTAAAAGATGTCTCTGCAAGAAAGGAAGAGACTATAATGAACCTGATAGGTATGACACTTTTGCAGGAAGGTATAACCTAGGATGGAATAGTTCTTTGGTGGTGTGGGTTTTTTTTTTTTTTTTTTTTTTAATTTAAATGCTTAAATACTTTTCAGCATCAAGTTTTAATGTCAAGCCAAGACACCATGTCCAAATAAAATGTTTGGTTTATTCCCTATAATAATATTTCAATACTAATTTTCTCTAATTTAATCAGGTTATAAAAGCCACGAAAACCAAACCAATCGATAATCAGTTATCTTGTCCTTGTTCTCATTTGATACAGAGCTGAAGTAGAATTTGTACTTCCACATAACATGTAGAATAGTATGTGCCTAAACTAATGTGTATCTTTCATTCAAAGCTTAATTCAACAATTTAATAATTGTTAGAATACTTAACACCTTTCCAAGCAATTCATTAAAGTACTAGACTTGGCTGAAAACTAACTAGCTGTGTAAAATCAATCTAGCTGCGAGCTATTCCTCTGCATGCAAATGGCAGCTAAGATATTGCTGATAGCTTAATGAGAGGCTTGAGTGATCATGTAAAAGGCTTTATGCTGCTCTACCACTTGCTTAATTTTTGATTAACAAGTTCATTTTCTGCATACTTTCTTGTTCTGTTTGTGTGCTTCTGAAATGTGTATGTTCCATTGGCAGGAGTATACTCAAAGCTGTCAGAGCCTCTACTTTGAAGACTTGTTTCTGTAGTACTGTGTCCTGGAGACATTAACACTTTGCTTTGTACAGGTTTGACCAGACATTGCTTGGTTCATTCATGGTATGTGTGCACCTCAGGATTTACTTTGCCTTTAAGAGTTGTACCTTAGGCTTCCAATATTTGAACTAATATCAGTCACATTGTTCCATTTTATGTTTAAGCAAAACTGAAGAAATCTAGACAAAAACCTAACAGATACTTAAACACTGTCATTAATGAAGAGTCTTATTCAGAATGTGTAATAATCAGATATGCTCCTTGAAAAAATTTACCATTTGGAAAACCTGAACGGTGGATACCCATAAAATACAGAAGATGTTGCTGGCTAGCAACATGAGGAGAAAATACGGGCTGCAAGCTATTGACTTAAAGGCAGGGGAGCACACTCACTCATAGCCTCTTTCAATGCAAGTGCTGGAACATGGGTAGCTTTTGTTTCTTGTTGCAACAGGAATTGTGAGTATATCTTGTCTGAAGAAAGTTCCCCTTGTATATAAATACAGTCCTACCAGACTGATAAAATTATGCTTCGTTAGTTTAGTGTCTGGGTTACGCTCACTGTTGAATATTCTTTGTTTTAACTAGCCTCGTTCTTCTGTGTAATTCTAAATACATCAGTTTTTAATTTTAGTAAATGGGAAATAAAGCGTTGTCAGTGTTGTGGTTCCCGTGGAACTCATTTGGCCTGTTCATCTATGAAGTCATGGGAGCAAAACTGGGAGTGCATGGAATGCAGAAGCATCTTTGCAAAATCAGGTAAAGTTATGGATGTGACAGTGACTTCTTAAAGCAATAAATTTTAATACTATGTATTTTACAGCTAGCAAAGTCACTAAATTAATATACTTTAATCACACAGGGAGCTATAGCAAACAGAAAAAGCGTTCTTTGGCTACCTCTGAAAAGACAGACGGGACAACTTGTTTGCTGGAAGAGCCATCTCCAAAGTGCCCTCGGCAGTCACCTGGATCTCAACGCAATTTTCTTCTCCAGTGTGTAATTTTCTTTTTTCAAGCAGAAACCGATTATAACATAAAATAGTATTTAAACATGAGGAGGTGATGGCTTATTGCATAGGAGAAACTTCTCACACTAAATTGCAAATTGGATAAAATTGGAGTAAATTTTAGTGATGGAAGTTTTCTGAGTAAGCCGTGAACTCTGTAAATTTGCTATAGTTATTTGCATTTGGTGGCATGTAACCAGTTTTTAGTTTGATAAAATGAGATCCTTGTAAAAGGAATCTTAACAATTTAGAGGTAACTTCGAATGTACAAATGGCAAAACTTAAAGCTAAGGCTGCTTATCAGTATTTTTTTCTATGTTAATAGTGTGCTAGAAATCTAGCTTTCAGAGATGTTTATATAAATAATGTTTTTCTCTGCTGTAATAAAAACTTTTCAAAACTGTAGAAACTAATATTTTTAGTTTTTACTTATTGTAAAATAAGTAAAAAAAAAATATGTAAAATGTAAAGTTATGTACTTCCGTCTCATGTATGGGATGCAACTAAAAACGCATCCTAAAACCACTGCATAATAAAATACTGAATTATTATTTTTAAAATTGTAGTTCAGGCACTGATGGACTTCATGTAAATGAACATACAAATGAGATTCAATACTGAAATAGGGGGAAATTATATTGCTACCTTCAAATAAGAAGTGTTTATGTATTCCTCAATTGTATCTCTTCTTAAAATACTGTTTTGGTTTATAGATCACCAAAGATAATGTGCCAGAACAACTTGCCACCCTGCTCACACCTAGAACTTCCAGCATCCAACAGAGTGACTATGTCCTTATCTCCGCTGACGTCAAACAGGAACTGGTCCCTGAGGAAAAAGTATTTTCTTCTATTTTTCTTACATTGAAGAGTAATCTAGCACGTGGCTTTACACCGTATTTCCTACAGAACATGGGGGGGGTATATATAGTGGGGTGTGTGTATATATAGTCACTGGAAAAACAGAATGAGTACACTGAAGAGCTGAATTCATAACTTGATAAAGGCTTCTGCTGTTTTTAAATGCTAGAGGAGGGTGAGGAGCAAAGGATGATACCTGTTGAGAATTTTTAGGTTAGGTAGTGAGGGAATCAAAACCCAGAAACCCATATTTGTCCTTACCGAAGCATGGCTAGCATTCTTTAGAAAAGGGGGAATAAAAAGAATCCTAATTACTTTCTTCCAATTAGACGTCCTGAATTTTCAATGTTTTTGCAGTGGTACCATAGGAATAGTTTGTGATTATGCTAAAATCAGTGGTAAAAGAACATGTTTTAATATAGAATATTCAGTTTAAGGATACAAAATTCTTTGTCTTGTTGTGAATACTTAATTTATGAATTCTACCTGTAATATGTGCTAAAAATTCTGATGAGGGAGTTAGTTACTTCTAGTAGGTAGGGTATTTGAAATAGTTTTGGTTGCAAGTTAGAAAACAAAGAAGGGGTCTTACTTAGACTGGTGTCTTTTTTTTTTAAATGAGAACTGCAACATTTCTCCCTTCTCAAATGTATTTTTGATTATAGTGACAAATATTAAATATTAGTGAACAGTTGACAGTGTATTCTAATTTGGTTGCAAAACATCTCTTTAACACAAACATGGTAAGATCTTCAATTTCTCACTTGTTTCACATTGTTCAAATGCAGAATGATGGTGTGAGAATTGTTTGGCACTGTGTTGGTGTAATGGAATTAAGAAAATAACTATAAATTTTATGCCAAAGTAATAATTTCTACCTCCTTGTTTCTAGTTCTTAGAGGTACTTTAAAATTTGCCACTACAGAGTTAAAATTTGAAGAATCTAACCGGATGTTTTACTGATATAATTTAGGCAATACGTAAATGTACCAAAGTGTTTAAAGAGGTGTTTTTCTTAATAGATTTTAGTATATTTCCTGTAAACTGTTGCTAATTATGAATCGTAGATTTCATCTGAAAATACATGCGATTTTCTTGTAGGCATTTAAGAAAGCAAAGAAGGGAAGTTTCTAATATACTGAAGGAGTTAAAGTTACAAGTTAATACAAAAACTACAAGGCTTAACATCAATGCAGAAAATATCTGGAATAGTGCTTTAAAAGGATTTAGACAGCGCAACTTCAGTCCTACAAACACCATTGAAATAAAGTTCACAAACTGCAAAGATAGATCAAAGGCAGATACTTCTGCTGCATCAAAACACCGTTTCTTCCAATTATTAATGCTTCACCTTCAGAATTCATCATTGTTTGAGGGCTCTTCTGCAAAGAACTTGTCCCTTGATTTTCAAGGTAATGAAATGCTTTGTTCAAAAATACATTAAGAACTATATAACTTGAAAGGTTTTTAAATCTTCAGCCAGTATGATTGTCGGTTCACAATTATAGTCCTGATGGATAGAAATTGTTTTTTTGAGTTTTTTTGCTTTTCAGTTCTAAAGGGGGGTGGGGTGCAGATTTGTAATAACAAAAAAAATTTGCTTTAGCTGGAAAAGTTGATGACAAACAAGGAAAAAATACAGCATATAATTAGACTTGGAACTTCTTAATTAAGGTATTTGTTCTCTACAAGTGAATTTCTTTCTTCCTGACTCACTTTCTCTGTTACTTATTTTCCTTTCCTCAAAGTTCTAGAACATTGTCTCTGATAGCATGCTCCCTAAAGACCTAAAGTTAGCTTCTTTTGAGTTTTTATGCATCAGAATTATATGTACATTGGGTACAAAGGGGAAGAGGAAGTTACATCTTCTCCAAACCTTGACAGTGGATGAAGAGTTGGAGTAAAAGAATATGGTACTCCTATGTAAAAAATACCGGTCTTAGCGTTTCAACCAGCAGGAGATGGCAAACCTCATTTGTTACATCTCCTAAAGTAAGAAGGAATTGCATTATGAGATTTTCTGTAAAAAATTGAGGATCACAAATTATTTTCATGCATATATAGTAAATATATTTTTTTTCATTTGCAGCTGTGAAAGAGAATCTTTATTTTGAAGCTGGTAAAATGATTGCAGTTTCTCTGGTTCATGGTGGCCCATCTCCTGGTTTCTTTTCCAAAACACTGTTCAATTGTCTTGTCTATGGTCCAGAGAATGTGAAGCCAGCTTTGGAAGATGTTGCTGATGTTGATGTAGCACAAACAATAAAAATGGTAAATAAAACTAAGCTTATTAGCAAATTCTTGTTCAAGACTATATTTGGTGATAAAGAAGGGCTTATTGAATATAAATAAGCTTTTTAATTTGAACTGAAGTTTTTTAATATATATATAAACACATGTAGTAAACAAATTCCTAACTTTTATTTTCTGATACAGATAAAATATGCAAATAGTCTGTCCAGCCTACAGTCTACTCTGTCCAGCCTACAACTGTCCAGCCTACAGTCTACAATACACAACTGTTACGAATTCCTTGCTGCTGCTGGATGTTTAAGACCTGTAACAGCTTTGTGTGATAAGAATATGCTGGTGAATGACATATTGATCCATCATGTAATCAAGAGAATTATTTCACCCCTAGAAAGGTTTGTTTTGTTTGAGTTTTCAAACTTCCTGGATTTTTTCCTCACTGAAATACTAAATAATATGTTGCTAAAACTAACTTTCACATGTTCTTGCTTATTCTTCATTTAAACCAATGAAATAAAATATAATTTTCAGTGGATTAAGTAGCAACTGTTAACTAGTTAGTTAAACTGAAGGACTGAAATTATTTCTTTATATATCCGCTCCGTTCCGCTTCTCCTTGGTCACATTCCTTTTTCAACCTTATGAAGAGGGCAGAGTCATGGTTGTAAACTATAGCCTGACAAAGACCTTTGCACTACAAAATTTCTCTAGCTTGTGTTCATTTTTAATTCAGAATTGCGCGAATTTAGAATCCTTAAATTTTAGAAGTGTTGAACATATGTTTAGAATTTAAATGAGTTTTCCAGAGTTCTGATTAGGGAGTTTGTGTGTGCCATTAGGAGGCTGATAATGTGCACAAGTGTTAGTTGGCCTACTTAGAATGTAAGCATTGCATTGGTGTTTCCATGAGGTAGTGATGACCTCAAATAGCTGGGAAAGTTGCAGCCGTTGACTATTTTTTGATTGGTCTCTGACCTTACTTCCAATTTGCATTCTTCATCTGCTCAGTAAAAAGGCATTGGATGCTAATTTTTCCAACAAGTATAGCTGGATTTATATTTAACACATTTATGGTGTTATATTTGACAAATTTGAATCAACTGAATCTCCAAGAGCTATGAAAAACTAATTTTGAATGTGAGGATTTTTTTAACAAAGTTGAGAGTAATTATTCTTTCAGTCAAGGCTCTCTGTGGCATTTTTGACCAATCTATATCATGTTTTAAAACTAGTCAGTTAAAAAGTGAAAGGTGATAAGTAGCCTGTTTGTTTATGGGAAAATGTGGGTTTGTGCATTTTTGGAGATGGGCTTAAAATGTGCAAAAGTGAGTAGAGCAAGAATTTACTTGTCAATATCGAGGACTGAGAGTAAGTAAAGAGTTAGTTACTTTATCTGTTAATAGTTTACACCACTGACTGTACACTTTCAACACATTTATTCTGAATTTTACTGACTCAGCCTATCGATATCTAAGAAATGATGAGTAAACAACTGAAGTAAGATTTTAATTCTGATTTAACATGGTGGTTAAATTGTAAAGCCAGTTGCTTGAAATGTTCTTATCTAGTACACAGTAACTAGTCAAATTTTTTCAACCTGCAGAGCTGTTTTAAAAAAAAAAAATAATTTAGTTAAATCACAGAATTGGATTGGTGTGTATGTTGGAAGGGACTTCTGGAAGTCATCTTGTCCACCCCCCGCTCTGTTCAAGCCAGGCCACCTAGAACCAGTTGCCCAGGACCATGTCCAGACAGCTTTTGAGTATCTCCATGGATGGAGACTCTACAACCATTCTGGGCACCCTGTGCCAGGGCTCAGTCACCCTCACAGTAAAAGTGTTTCCTGATGTTCAGACAGAACCTCCTGTGTTTCAGTTTGTGCCCATTGCCTCTGGTCCTGGCACTGGGCACCGCTGAAAAAAAGCCTGGCTCTGACTTCTTTGCACGCTCCCTTCAGATGTTTCTACACATTGAGATTCCACCTGAGCCTTCTCTAGGCTGAACAGTCCCAGCTCTCTCAGCCTTTCCTCATAGGGTTATGCTCCAGTCCCTTAATCATCCTAGTGGCCCTCTGCTGGGCTCTCTCCCATATGTCCATCTCTCTCTTGTACTGGCAAGCCCAGAAATGGACACAGCACTCCAAGTGTGGCTCCCTTGACCTGCTGGCACCATGATTCCTAATGCAGCCCAGAACACTGTTATCTGCATTTGCCACAGGGAGAAATAATAGCACGTAAACACATGCAGATGGCAGAAGCTAAGTAAAGGCTATCTTTTAAGACACCTCATTTTGCCTAGGGACAAGGAATTTAAACTGTGTTTTCTAAAGGGATATGTGTAAAAAAGAAATTCAGTATGTTCTTACATAAAAATTAAAAGTAAACCATGCTCATACAGTCAAGTACCAGGAAATAAAGTTAATTTCTGCATATCATTGGTATCTCTTTCATCTACCCAAAAAGCTCCACAGAAATACTTAGATTGTTAAAATGAAAATTAAACGCGTTTTCCAAGATAAAGTAAAACAGGCCTACTATGTACACCTTATTGACAAGACTTGGAGACTGCAGATGGGGAAACTTTATTATGTCCAGTCTTAACCTTTATAAAATGCAGAGTACAATTAGTTACCTACTGGCTTTCTGATGCATGTTTGCTCTTTTTTCCCCTTCTAGTTTTAGGCAAGGTTTGAAAACTCTTGGTGTGCTAGAGAAAATGCAAATGCATCCGGATGCATTCTCTAGTATATTGTGCCACAAACCTGAAAGACTTTCAGCAGAAACTGTTTGTGATCTCTTTACAATCCATTCCTCATCAGATGTAAATAAAGTTGAAGGTGCTGATTTTTGGATGGGTTATTTGCAAGATGTGGAAAGTAAGTAAGTTTTTTTTCTTTTTCCCCCTTCCCTGTTCAAGGTATCTAGCTGCTGGTATACATACAGGGTTTGGTTTTTAGAGTTCAGTGGGGTAAATAAATTAAGGTTTTGAGGTCACTGTCAGTTCCTAATTGCTCCTTCTTCCCCATCTTCCTTACTAATTATAATTTCTGAAACTGTTGCCCAATTACAATCAAACTTGAGAGGAGTAAATATCTGAAAGATTGGTACTAAACTCCTGTGAGTTTAAAAAAAAAAAAAACCACAACACCACAAAATCAACCTGAGTGATACAGAAAAATCCTTTAATCCCCTCTCTTCAGCTTTGCTGTGAACTTATTATTATGTCTCTCAAAAGATAGAAAACAGTGGTCTCTTCTTGCAGAAGAGGTTTTTTTCCTATTCACTTAAGATTTTTCAGAACTAACCCAAGTGGGTTTTTCTTGCTAAAATTTTTCTTATTTGGCCATATAACTGCATATTCATTCAGCATATTGATCTGGGGTTTCCTGATTTCAGGGTTTTTTTTCCTGTAACACTTAACATGCAGAATAATGGTTTATGGGTAATAGGTGATAAGTGATACAACCTAATCCTATTTTTTTAGGTGGTGAGTCTGTAGTGACATTGGAGGATATTCTGCTCTTCGTAACAGGCTCTTTTTCTATACCACCCATTGGTTTTGTTCCTGAACCTACTATTAAATTTTTGCATATAAGGTATCCCATTGGAAACAGACTCCTTAATTGCTTAGAGCTCCCTATAACAAAGACATACGAGCAGTTTAAAAATAAAATGGAGTTCACAATCAGAAACACACTAAGAGCTGAAAGACAATAAATATTTTTGCTACTAAACTGGATGTTGGAAACGTCAATTTTCTGCAGGAATGTCTGCTTGCAAATTGCTACTGTATTTTTTGGACAGCGTGCTCTCGGCCTTTTCCCCCCAAAGATATGCTAAAAGTAGTAATCTTGTAAGATGGAAGACAATTTTCAAATGAAAATACACTTTATCTATTGAATCATCTTCCTGTTTGAAGTTGGCTTTAAGAGTCAGCAATCTCTTGCAGAAGTACTTTAAACGTCTACTTTTGCTGTAGACACATATGAAATGTTATCAAACTCTGTAACATTCTAGCTATTTCCTACAGGTAAGTATGTTGATTGTATTACATACTTCAGTAACTTATTTATCAAAGTCGAATCAGGTACATTTTGAAGATAACTGCTGTAGAGCTTTGTCTCAATTAAAACTGATGCAGTTCTTCAGTCGTTCCATGTATATTTTTTCAGTAATTGTTTTTATTGATGATTCATTTACGTTTTGATGACTCATACAAACCTATGAAAGTTAAGAAACTTGGAGTTTTAAGGTCATTGTGGTTAGTGCATTAAAATATAACTAAGGTCTGGAGAAAACCTAGGCAAAATAATAAGGTGCAAGAACAAAATCTGGTTGAACTTGAGTTTCTGTTGTTAAACAAAATCTTTGACGTTTGCACATGTTTCTGCATTCTACTGTTATACATATAGCCAAAATAGTAAAAACTAGAAGTAAATCTTGAATATGCAACAATAAGTGGTCTTTCAAAATGAAATATAAGAACCAGACTTAATGTTGAGTATGAAAGTGTAAGAATTTGTTGCTCATTAGAACATGTTACTTCGTCTTCCATGGAAGTCAGTATTTTCATAGGAATATGCACTAAAACTATTTGTTAAACTAAAGGCAGTCTACCATCAAGCTTGTCAGTGCCTGACACTTTTCTAGCTTTTAGTCTAAACTCTTCCTGTTCAATTGTAGGTGCATTCTGAGCAACTTCAACTGTATAAAATATATTTCAATTCTGCAGTATTTGTATAAATACCGTTTTGCCATAAAAGATAAGTAGTGAAATTCCTACACGATAATACTTTAATGTTATTAATACTAAAACTATGAAACTAAAAGGACATTTAACTACAGGTTTTTTAAACGTATGCAGGTCCCTCTTTTGAAATCATTATTTCCCCCCGTCAGTTTGACCACCTATACTATACCCCAAACATAGGCTGTGCCATAGATGTGTGTGTGTATATATAGATATATATCTATATATATCCACATTCTTCAAAATACTGAAAAGTAATAATACACTTTTTTATTAATACAGCTTGTTTTTAATTGAAAATACAAGCAGGATTGCTTTACTTTTGAATGCCTTGGCAAGAAAGTACATCCACAGTAAATTATATATGGAAATATATAAAAATTATAAATGGATAGGTACTTCTTGTATATAGATATATATCTATATATATCCACATTCTTCAAAATACTGAAAAGTAATAATACACTTTTTTATTAATACAGCTTGTTTTTAATTGAAAATACAAGCAGGATTGCTTTACTTTTGAATGCCTTGGCAAGAAAGTACATCCACAGTAAATTATATATGGAAATATATAAAAATTATAAATGGATAGGTACTTCTGAAAAAATAATAATCCAAACTAATCTAGTTTCAGGTTCTGGTTTATGGTTCACTGCAAGTATTCCTCTAATTAACAAATTGTATTACTAAATGGTAATTACATAGCAGTGTACTGCAACTCAAGAACTGTGAAAGTGGCAGTCAGGACTCACTAAATTTGAGACCATGCTATAAAGGGTTAAAGACAAAGAGGCAGATGGGTATTTAAATTACACGGTTCATTTAACAATATGCAGGTATTTTGAAGTCTTTCTTAAACTGCTACAGCTTTTCTTTCTTTCTTGACCTTGGGAGAGGTGCTAGTCGTCTTATACAGATCTATTTCTATCACTGGGTAACAAAAGCGTGCATGCCACTTTTTT